GCCGTTTCTAGGTGAATCGCTCTACTGGCCAGACATGTGAAAAGTACGCCATATCTTTTTGACTGCTTACGTCCCTCTTTAATGTAATAGGGACCAAAATAGTCCACAGCACAGTAAGTAAACGGTGGTGCTTGTGTAACTCGATCCGCCGGTAAATCGGCCATCTTTTGCTGAGAAACCGCAGCCCGTAATCTCCTGCATCCAACGCACTTGGATATATAATGTCTTACTCTCGAGTTTGCATTTATTACCCAATATTTACTTCTTAGCTCATTCAAAGTAATACCTCGTCCCGCATGCGCGACCTTCTCATGACAATGACGGATAACGAGTGTAGTAACATGGCTTTTCTTTGGTAAAATCACCGGGTGCTTAGCATCATCTGACAGTTCCGTTGATTTGCTCAGCCTGCCACCCACACGTAACAGACCGTGTTCATCGATATATGGATCTAGTCGAAACAAGGAGCTGGTCTTCTTGATCTTCAAATTTTCACTTCTTTTCTTTGCTCTATTATCGGTGTGATTCTCTGCCAATACTTCTTTCAAGGCAACGATCTCGTTGAGGAAAGCATCCTTTTGGGTAAGTTTCAGGATTACAGCTTCGGCCTTCTCTATTTCATCGACTGTAATGGGCTTAGGTTTGGATTCCAGACTTTTCTTGATATTACCTTTGGACTCTGGAATTAGTCGTTTGCATTTTGGCTTCATCAAGCGTAGGATCCACGCGACGATTTTTCTCACAGAATGCCACTGAGAAAAATATTCTAAACGCTTTAATATGTCCTTCTGACCGACTATCGTGGATTGTACAATTTTAATCTCTTCATCACAGTGGGAAATTTCTTTGATGGTTTCGGGGAATTTAGGCCACTCAATTTCCGGTTTCCATAAGAATTCCGGTCCTCTTATCCAGCGCTGTTGTTCAAGAAAGGTGTTGATTTTCATGCCACGCGAAGCTTCATCAGCCGGGTTGTCTTTACTGTCGACATACCTCCATTAGCTTGGATCACTTCTATCTCTTATAGCTTGAACTCGGTTGGCTACGAACGTATGGAAACGGGCTTGGTCGTTATAGATGTACTTTATAACGGTTGTGTTGTCCGTCCAATAGGTTTCTTTATCCGATAATCCCAATTCAATTTTAAGGAGGGTTCCAACTTTTGCAGATAACAGGGCGGCAGTAAGCTCCAAACGTGGTATGGTTATAGCTTTTAGAGGGGTAAGACGAGCCTTGCCCATCAAAAAGGCACAGTGGATATCTCCTTTATCGTTAACTTGCCTTAGATACGAAACTTGGCCTAAACCCATCAGACTAGCGTCGGAGAAGCTGTGAATCTGTTTAATCACTGGAGTTCCAAAATTCGAAGGCTTGAGGCACCGGGCCAAAACAAACTGTTCCAACGCGGGCAATTCAGTTCTCCATTTTTCCCATCGAGCACGGTATTCTTGTGGGAGATCGTCGTCCCAAGTGAGTTTTTCTCGACAAAGGTCCTGGAGGATTCTTTTGCCGGACAGGAGGATCGGGGCAGCCATTCCAATTGGATCATAGATCGAACTAATGGTAGCTAAGATGCCTCGACGAGTCAGCGGTTTGTCCTTCAGGATGATCTTAAATCCTAATTCATCTGATTCCACGAACCATTGTACACCAAGAGCTCGTTCTATTGGCAAACGGTCACAATTTAGATCCAGGCACTTAAGCTCTTTAGATCGTTCCTCTTCAGGTATTGCTTCCAGAACGCAATGTTTGTTACTCGTAAATTTAGTCAGACGAAAGCCTCCACGGGTGCACATCCGAGTCACGCCGTTAATTGTGTCGGTTGCCAACTCTTCGCTTTTTTCCGATCTTAAACAATCGTCCACGTAGAAGTTCTTCCTGAGGACATTTGCAACTTCAGCGCTTTCTTTTTCTTCGAAATCATCTGCTGTCTTCCTGAGCGCGTAATTTGAACAGCTCGGTGAGGAGATTGCCCCAAACAAGTGTACGTTCATTTGATATTCTTGCAGATCTTGTGACAGGTCACCATTTGGCCACCAAAGAAAACGGAGAAAGCTTCAATGTTCTTCCTGGACACGAACCTGATGAAACATACTCTCAATATCAGCCATAAATGCTGCTTCGTCTTCTCGAAATCTCATGAGGACGCCGAGTAAAGAATTTGTCAGATCCGGGCCTTGCATTAACTGATCATTCAGCGATGTTCCTTGGAAGCGAGCGCTGCAGTCAAACACCACACAAATTTTATCAGGCTTTTTTGCGTGGTACACTCCATGATGGGGTAGATACCAAATCTTTCCTGGTTTTCCTTCTGGACAGTCATCGGATACTTTACGAGCATACCCCTTTCCAAGGATATCGTTCATGAACTTAACATAATCTCGATGAAAGTTACTGTTCTTAGATAGCTTTTTTTCTAACCAGTAGGCTCTAACGATGGCTTGTTGTTTATTCATTGGCATATGAACATCATCATTCCTGAAGGGCAGTGGCATCACATAATGTCCATCCACATACTTCGTCTCACGATCCATCTTCTCCATGAACCTTTTATCTTCCTGAGAATACTGATCCTTTTGGGAGTGTCGCTCATTAAAATCTAGCTCGAACATTTTATTTAATGCTTCGGGCGTCACCAACTCTTTGACGGATTCTTCAACCATGAAATGGTGCTCTGACGGCTTGTTTGATCCAACCTCTTGGACGATTATTCTGTGACAGTCTACTGAGTGGTCATCATTAGACATGTAGAGTGGTCCAACTATGGTCCAACCAGCGAAGGTCAGCATCACGAAGGGACCTCCGTTACTACTAGCGACGAAATCTCTCGGTTCAATAGCCTTGGGACAGTTCGTTCCTATAAGAAGACCAATCCTAACATCTGCCAAATACGGGGGAACCTGCTCCGATACACGTTCCAGATGTTTCCATTTACTGTATAATTCTGGACGTGGTATTTCATTCTTGGTTCCAGGAATTTCGTCTCTGGTAAAGACTTTCGGGAGGGTGATAGTATTTGCACCATTCAAATCAGATACTACTAGACCGGTTACTACCTTGGTATCGTGCATTCTTGGTCCATTCATAGTTCGAATCATTACTCTTGTGTTCGTTCCGTTCCCATCAAGTCGTTTGAGCGCCTCTTCTGTGATGAAGGTACCCGTGCTGCAAGAATCAAGCATGGCATAGGTGATTATTTCTTTGTTGTTACTCTTTAGCCGAACAGGAACGATAGGCATAGATTCAACCGAAAATTCTATCTTGCTCGCATCACAGGCAACTTCATCAGCGACGGCAAATGCACAGTTCTTCGCAGAATCAGCAGGATTGTCCTCATCAGGGTTTCCTTTTGGGGTGGTGTCCTCATTCTTCTTGGTTTCCTCAGTTGTTTTACTCTTCGGTCGAAAGTTTTCATCGTGCAGCCCCGTAGGATGCCAACCTGAACAAGTCTTGCAGATTCGTCTCTGGATACATCCTCTTGATCTGTGTCCGGGTCTATAACAGGGCAAACATAGTCCTCTTTTAGCAATTAGGTCTTCTTTCAGATAGTGGTTTCTTTAAATAAACTTTACACTCGTCTAGATCGTGCGAGGCATTACAAAGAATGCACGGACGACCTGATTTTTCATTCATCACGGTTGTGTTGCTTGTTAACTTAAAGGGCAGGATTTTCTTGGCTTTACCCTTATCATCTTGACCAATTTTATCGAGCGCTTGCCGGGAAAAGACGGGATCAGTTGCTATCTTTGCTTCTGCTTTAACGAAAGTGGCGACGTGTTTGAACATAGGGATCTTATCATTTTCTCTTATCTTAGTCACTTCTCTACGCCATCGTCCTTGTAAATAGAAGGGCAATTTTCTCACTAAACACTGCAGGTTTTGTGGATGGTCCAAAATACTGAGATAAGATAACGATTCCATTGCGCTCAGGCATTGTGTCAGGAACGTTGCAAATCTCTCCAGGGCGTTGTCATCTCCAGACCTTAGAATGGGCCAATCGGTCATTCTCTTCAAATATGCATTTGAAACTTTGTATGGATCACCATACTTCTCTTTCAGCAACCTCTTAGATTCAGCGTAGCCCGCATTAGCTTCCATATGGTGACATCCCTTAATCAACTCCTTCGGCTCTCCTTCCAAATATTGTTCCAAATATTGCATACGAATACGAATATCGCTTGATCGAATGTTTCTTTCGATTCGCATCTCGAATCTACATATAAATAGGTGATATTCCGTCGGATCGCCTTTAAACTCGACCAGGAAAGTGAAGGTAAGGTGCTTTGTTGGTGCTGTTCAGATAGCATCTCCGTCAAATGATTCTGCCTTTCGAATAGCTGCAGCAGGGGTCATTGCCGGAACCCGACCTTCCCAATTTCTATAGTCACTTAATGGTGGTCTCATCTCACGGTTAATAGGTTGTTGTGTCATTTCATATTTAGAATTGGGAACGAGTCCTTCAAATGCCAGACATGGCGATGAAGTGGAGTCTCCGCTACTTAGGAGTGAGAATGGTTGTAGTCTCACTGGAACGCGATTGGCTCTTTTCGAGTGGAACGCCGAAATAGGAGTTTGTTGAAAAACTTTCTCCGATGAGGGCATTTCAGTTGGTCCGATCTTTGCTGTCTGATGCGGAAAGTTCTCTTTACGCAGCGGTCGCTCTTCAAGATCTTCATACATTCCATCAGTTGCAACTTCAGGTTTAACTTCATTGTTAACCTTCGTGAAGGCTTGTTCTCTGGCTTGAGCGACTGCAAGCTCTTCTTGCAAGCGTAATTTCTCAGACTCGTTTTCAAGAGCTTGTCTTTTCTCCAACAGCGCTGCTTTGACCTTTAAATCGCGACTTTTGCCATCTCTCTAGCTCTGTCAGACGTACTTGAATGTCTTGAAGCAGTCGATCAACGAGATTCCGTTGATGATTTGGGAGTGCTTGACTTCGAGGCGTTTGATTTCATTTCAAGTCGTTCTTCTATTTTGTACTTGCCACCGCAATCCAATCTCTTACTTTTCCTCTGAAGGTCGTCAGTGTTCTCATATAGTCATCATACCAATCAATCAACGAAGCGTGCTCTTGCCCTGACAATAAATCTCTCCAAGCTTTAAAGGCTCCATGGAATTCTACCAAAATTTTGCTGTACACTTCGAAATTATTTTGAACCTTGTGTACGTCGTCATAATCATTCATACAACCTTCGATTACCTCGATTACTTTCGATATTTGCTTTTGTATAGATCGGCATTGTTCCGTCTTTAATTCAATTTGATATGCTCAGCCTTTGTCTGTCAGTTTCCTATGCTGTCTTCTCACTGGACCTCTGATAACTTCGTTCACGAGCAGTGTGTTAGCTCAGGATCTAATTCCATATCACTTAGCCTGACTATAAATCATCTGACTTTGTTGCCATCTTTTGGTATAACGTTTTTTGTACTAATGTCGATGCAATCTACGTTTACTTGCTTGACACCGGCAGGGATCATATAACAACACTTCGTACGCGTTAATACAAAATCGCTCGATCGTTATTCGTTTATTAAACGGTTATAATGTATTACGGTACAAAAAACGTTGTGGCTTTTAGCACAACATGTCTTGTTCTTGTAAACTGTTCCGACTTCGATAAGAGCTTTGTCGATACTGAGATGTTCTTGCTCAAAACTAACTTATAGCGGTCTAATAATAATTAATTCTAATATATTACACATGTTATGAGCACGTACAAAAGAAGTCAAAGTCCACACGTGAAATAACTATCCTAAATTTAAATATTTACATAAAAACAATTTAAGGTTTTTTTTTGGCACTAACAATATATATCTATATATATCTATATATATATCTATATATCTATATATCTATATATCTATTATCTATATATCTATATATCTATATATCTATATATCTATATATCTATATATCTATTATCTATATATCTATATATCTATATATCTATATATCTATATATCTATATATCTATATATCTATATATCTATATATCTATATATATATCTATATATCTATATATCTATATATCTATATATATATCTATATATATATATATCTATATATATCTATATATCTAATATATCTATATATCTATATATATATCTATATATATCTATATATATCTATATATATCTATATATATCTATATATATCTATTAATCTATATATATCTTATATATCTATATATATATCTATATATATCTATATATATCTATATATATCTATATATATATATATCTATATATATTTATATATATCTATATATATCTATATATATATATATATATATATATATATATATATCTATATATATAATCTATATATATCTATATATATCTATATATATCTATATACAGCCGCTGTCATTAATGTTGTCCAAATCAAGTATATCAATATACCTGTCATGTGACTTATTGGTATGCACCAACTCGAGTGTGCTTGCTATGTAAATGTATGAAGCACCCGCATAGCAGATACATTAACATAGCAAGCACACTCGAGTTGGTGCATACCAATAAGTCACATGACAGGTATATTGATATACCTGGTTTGGACAACATTAATGACAGCGGCTGTATATCTATATATATCTATATATATCTATATATATCTATATATATCTATATATATCTATATTTATTATATTATATCTATATATCTATATATCTATATATATCTATATATCTATATATCTATATATCTATATATCTATATATCTATATATCTATATATCTATATATCTATGTATCTATATATCTATATATCTATATATATAATCTATATTCTTATATATCTTTATATATCTTTATATATCTTTATATATCTATATATCAATATATCTATATATTTATATTTAATGACATTTCCTTATATTCCGTTCTCAATTGTGATTGATTTGGCGTTTTTGTGTCGCTAACTTGTCTCCTTCATGCACCAAAGCCTGACGCGATCGTATATACTATATGGTTGGGCGTGTTCGCACTATGAAGCAAACCACAAAGGTGCAATGAGCAAATATCGAGGCAATTTTAAGGACCAGTATGATATAAGCTTTTGTTTGTTTTGGTTATTGGGAAAGTGATAAATGGAACTTTATGGACGATTTGTTTAGGAACTACACGCATTTCTTCCCTTGCATAAAAGAATTTCAATAGAACAGTAAGTTCCGAATGGATTAAGAAACGTTTTCAATGAGAACATATAGATCATTTTATGTAAAGGAACTGCAAAAACTCGTTCCTTATTTTTAGGAACTGTATATTAGGAACTATTTGTTCCCCTATATACTAAGGAACCATGAATGGGAACGTTTTATAGTTTGCTTTTAAGTAAAGGAACGACGCAAACATTCGATCATAAATTTAGGAACTCTATGATGGAACAAATGCATGCATTGTTCCCTTGCACTAAAGAACGTTTGAATATTCTACATTGAACGACCGGACAAGAATACATGCATGCGTTCAATTTTAGGCATTTACTATAATTCAGCATTAAACTGCACGCGGGGATCTGTCATTACAAAATTCAATAAGGGGAACCCCCTGTTCCTATAATGACGTTGCAGGCAAAATGTTTGGGACCAGCCATTTCGGTTGAAAGAAAACAATAATTATAAACATGTACCTTAATCACTATACAGCAGTATATTTCACTTATCATACATGAATTCGATTTTTAAAGTAATTTTAGCCTTATTGCTCTCATTCTTAATGTACTTGGTATTCTGCATTCTTGAAATTTGTACAAAGGACAATTCAGAATGCAAGTCCATCGCATGCCAAACTTTTCCACTCCTTTTCTCAGATAATTATCTTCCTCTTGGGTAAACCAAATTGCTCCCTCGTGTCTGTACTTGTTTTCTCTTTCGCACGATTTGGCAATGCACTCACAGGGTTTGGCAAGGAATCATTGTTTTTAATATCTGTCTCCATACCTTCGACCCCATGATCAGCAACGTTGGACTCGGTTTGTGTCAGTTGCTCCACGCACTTGTCCATAACTTTTCCATTTGGACCGCGCAACTTTTCCATGCAGGATCGTCCCTTTAAAGCGACATCACGAGATCGCAGCTTCTGATAATGAACTCTTGCTACATTTGAGCTGTGTTTCTGGTCCTCCGAGACAAATCGTTGTTCTTGTACATCTAAACTGCTCGTGCTTTCTGTTTCGATAATTTGCCTATATCTCGTCGGATTGATGTACTTTCCTATAGCTTGGAAAACTAGCAGGCCGAGCGGTTCGGTAAGCTTTTGAAATTGCGCACCGTTTCGATTTAACAGCAAGTAATCGCATTGCGGATTAAGCAATGGCCTGATAAATTGAACGTAGTCATCTACGATTGCCAAGCTCATCTTGTCGAAGTATAGGGAATTGAAACCATACTTTTGCGCTGTTTTGAAAACGGTCTGATCGACCATTCCATCATTGATTTTTGCATTTTCAAACATATTTATCGTCAAATGTTGATAGGTCATCGGTCGGCAACCTTTAACTTTCACGAACATGAAAACTGCAACAAACCGTGTGGCGAAAGTTAAGTCGGTTGGTGTGAGAAATGATTTCTTCTTGCATGCTTCCAGGATTTGTTTGTAACGCTCTACCTGAAAGGGAATTACCGTCTGAAGTTCAGCAAGCGTTGCCCAACTTCTTGCTTCCAGGGTTTCGATGTCTAAGTCTTTCGTCCAGTGAGAACGCATCTGTTTTGTCAACATTGTCTTGCTCGCTTTATATATACTTCTGTAACGGAAAAGTTTTGAAGGACAGGTCCCGCAGGTGAATGAAATCAACGAAAATCTAAGAGGTCTGCTATACGTTCACGTAGCCAAGGCGACCAGATTGTCCCATTTGCCAAGCACTTTCTAAATGATGAGAAAGTCGGTTAAATATCTGGAGAACATAAAAAGTAATCGACAAGTTCGACCGTAGACAACACCGATTGTTCATCCTCGCCTGATTGTTCGCAACAGTACTTTAGGAATTTAAATGCTCTGGTCACCGAGATTTCGGCTTGCTTCGGCTGTTTTCCCCCGCCGTGCTTTGAAGCCAGACACAAAATGACCGTCCTAGCTCGGAATCTGTGGCACAACATGGCAGTGTTGCCTTGCTTGGCGTCGAAGACGGCTGCCTTGATCAGATGGTATTTCATGGCTTCCTCCAACATAGGCTTCTTCTCAAAGTACGTGTACCATGGATGCTTTAC